TCAATAAATATATTTATTAATTTATTAATTTAATTATATTTTATTATAAAATAAATAAATAATCTAATATTTTACAAATTATTATCTTTAAACAATTTTAAAATTATAAATTTATGTAACTATTATTATATGATTATTTTTGTACTTTTAAATAAAATAATATTTGATTTTTAGTAATACTAAATATAGTGATTATTAATTATTAAGAATTAATAATAATAATTGTTAACCAAATAAAATGACACTTTAATGATAATATCACCCCGGTGATGATTATATTACTACGATGATCTTGCAAAAATACCAAATGCTACCTTAATATGATAATACTATTTTGTTTAATTTGCTTAATTAGTTTTAATTTTTTTATTTCAAAATAAAAATTAGAATTTTATTATTATTTTGTTTATTTTTCACTATAAGAAGAGACTTTATGTTAATTTTGTTTATTAAAAACTATTTTGTTAGTGAGATTTACATGATTTTAATTATGAGTAAAATACCACGGATGATCACCCAACTTTGATTTTTTTTTTTTTTTTAATTTTGATCACTTAATAATGAAATCTAACCTCTTAGTCACTAACGATTTGATAAATTTTTTTTTAATTATCCAACCGTTAGTCTTTAAAATATTGATGAAGCACGTTACCATAATGTCAATAATCACATGGCATCGTGCATCCTAAAATTAAAGATTTTCCAAAATAATTTTTTTATAAAAATTTTCTTTCTTTTTCTCTCTAGTCTCTTAAGCCTCTTTGGTCATTGAGGAAGCCGCATGTGACCAGATCGGGTCATATGCAAGCTGCTTCGGTGAAGCCAATATCCAGATTTGATATTTTCTCCTTTTTTTCACTTTAGTCTAACATTTGATTGCCAATTGTGTTGTTTGTGACTAGATCTGATCACCAGCAAGCTGCTTCGACAAGGGTAACGTCTAGATTCGGCTGCCGACGCAAGATCAAACACTCCATCCATATTAGATTTGGTTAAAAATGGTTGCGAAACTCACGCTGCAACAATAAGATTTTGTTGTCGACCTAAATCCGGTGCCGTTTTAACCCTATTTGGTCGTTGACGCTCAAACTAGACATTTAGTGATGTCGGAAATGGGTTGGAATAGCTTGGATGTGTGCATGGCAGCTATAGGAATCAAAATTTTCAGAAGACATAGGGTTATGATTGCACAAGTTGTTGAAGGGTATTTTAGAAAATAAGTCTAATTTTTATGATATTAACGTGTTATGTGGATATTGACATCATACGTGACATAATTTAATATTTCATTAAACACAAATAGATGATGGATCAAAATAAAAATTTATCTAAATTTTAATAACTAAAAGGTTAAATTTCATAGTTGAATAAGCAAAATAAAAATAGATAACCATTATTTTACCCTTTAATTATTTACATTCTTTGACCAAATGAAATTTAAAAGTAAATTTTAGAAACAAGGAATCATTGTAGGCAAGGTTTTAATGATTTGGTTAATTAATTAATTTATTATTACTATTATTTGACAATATTTCTAGCTTTTGTATTTGTACGGATTCGTAGGTGTTTCAAAAATTAAGCAATTAGATGATGATATGGTTATTTGTTTTATTAGGCATTGTTGATTTGTTGCAAAAACTTACCCAAGAAGAAAAAGCTAAATCTGACGCACAACAACGTGCTTTGGCGGCCGTGGTGTAATTTAGTAATTTTTTGTCATTTTGTAATGTTGTCTCCTTAGAAAATTTAATGTTGTTTTAGGATTATCCATACATTAAAATTTTTTAGATTTTTGAAGAAATAGAGCGTGTCTACGTGTCATCCCATTTTTTTAATTTCATTTCCTTTGTTTTTTTTTTTAATTTGATTTACTTTTTTTTTATTTTTTTATTTTAAAATTTTAATTAAATAAAATTTGTAAAAAAATTAATGGAGGTATGATAACATAATAATCAATAGCCTATGAGTTTCGATTCACTCTATTGTAATAGATACACTTTTTTAAAAAAAAATTCTAGATTGGATCAATGTTTTTTTATGATCCGGTCAAGTCAAAGGTAAGTTTAAAATATTTTATCTCCTCTTAAATATATATAAAAATATATTATTTATTATTTATTTAATTTGATATTTATATATATTATATTAATAAAATTATTATATAATATCTAAATTTAATAAATTTATATGTTAGCCCATTTGACTTTTTTTTTTGGCAATTTTCTTTCTTTTTTTTTAGTTTTTGAATTTTTTAATAAAAAAATTTTGCAAACAAAAAAGTTAATAAAAATAGAGATGATAAACTAATTCAGAATTTCAATTCATTTTGATCCAACATATGCAATTTTTTTAAAATTTCGAAATTGATTAGAGGTTTTTTCTTTTTAAAATCGAGGTCAAATCGAAGATATTTTTGAATGTTCTTCTAGTTACATGTATAAATAAAAATATGTATTTTATTATTTATTTAATTTTATATTTATACTATATTAATAAAATTATTATTTAGTATCTTAATTTGATAAAATACTATATATATACATAATTAGATGTAATTTATATTAAAAAATAATTTTTTTGAACATTAAACTAAATTTAAACTATTGAATTAATTTTGGATCAATTTGAATTGGATGCAAGTTATACATATGTGTTAGGTTCGGATCAAGTATAAAAATTAATAACTCAATATCAGGTTGAAATTGAAATCGAATCAAATAATTAAAAGATCGGATTAGAGTTAGGATTAATATAAACTTGTTTAGATCCAACATGTTGCTATCCTCAAATGTACGTATCCATATGTCATCCTATTTGATTTTTTTTCTTTTTTGCTTGGGTTATTTTTTCATTTTCGATTTTACTTTTCTGTTAGTTTTATTTTTTTTGTTTTTAATTGTCTATTTTTGTTTTTTTATCTATATTTGGAAAGATAAATAAGTAATATAAATGTTTGAATTTATTTTTTGCACTTCCTTATTTTTTTAGTTTTTACCTTTTTTAATAAGATAAATTTTATAACAAATGAGATTAGTTGAGATAGGGAAGGCAAAACTCTATCTAACAAATTTTGATCTATCGATCAAATAAATATTTTTTTTAATTAAAATTAAGTCGTGGTAGAATGAATTTTTTTTTAAATCAGGTCAAGTTAAATGTAGGTTTAGTATGTTTTGCCTTCTCCCATCTGAGATATATAGGAATATATTTTATTATTTATTTAATTTTATATTTATATATTATATTAAAAAAGTTATTATCTAATATATTAATTTAATAAAATATTATAATTATATATAATTAAGATATAATTTATCTTAAAAATAATATTTTTATGATGTTATATTATTAAATTAATTTTGAGTCAAATTATATCATATGCATGTTATATGTATATATGTCAGATCAGAGTCAAATATAAAAAATAGTTACCTAATGTTGGGTTGGAGTTGGGACAACTATAAACCTATATCTATTCGACCCGTTACTACCTCTAAGCGAAAGTATTCATGTGACAGTCTTATTTGACTTTTTTTTTGTGCTTGGGCCTTTGTTTTTGTGTTAGCTTTCTTTGAAAATTGGAAAGATAAATTTGAAAGAATGGATTTAGATTTAATTTATTATATATGTTATGATAATAAATTGCATATATTATCTGTAAATTAGTTGATAAATTTTTATTGATTATTATTTTTATTAAAAAATTATATACAAAAATATTCTTATTTATTAAATTCACATGAACATTATTAACTATAAATAAAAAATTTAGACTCGCAGTTTAGATAAATATTAAATAAAAAGCAATATGGATAAAATTCTTTACTCTAACAACTACATATTATTTTATTGTTTTTGGACAAATAAATTTTATTATTTCTTATATAAAAAATGATATTACTTGTTTTTATTTGTTGGAATATGTACAAGTGCCAATTGAACTTGTACATTTGAAGAAAATGATAATTATTTTTTTATTAATTTTTATTTGATTTTATAGTTTTAATTAATACTTATTAGATGCAAATTAATTTTTTGTCCATCACTGACTTGAATTTATACTCAATCAATTAATCGGTCTTCATAAAATGAGTTTGAAAATCAAATTTGTCTTAATAATTAAAAGAGATCGAAAATCAAGTTTGGATTTAATAATAATTTAGATTAAAACAAGCAATGACAACATTATTGAGCGAGATTTGGTGCTTTATCTAATAATGTTAATTTTGTTTTCAGTGTTAGTTTTATTGATGGATAAAATTTAATTGTATAAAAAATACGATATATTTATGATTGATTTTTCGTATTGAATTTGATATTAGATAATATCAATTATTTTTAATTGATTTTTGTAAATTTTAACTTGTTTCAATCGATATATGAGGTAAAACATGTTTTTGTAACTTATTTTTAATTATTTGACTATTTTTAATCTAACAAAAATAAAATTAATTGATATAATAATCCTAGAAAATTAGGTTTCTTTTTTTTTTTTTATCGTAACTTATTTTATACTTTATTTTTTAAATTAAAATTTATAAATATTTGAATCTCTTTCAAAAAAATAATTGTGCTTCTTCTTTAAAATCTAATAATCATAAAATCAAGGTTTTTATTTTTTTATTTTTACCTTAATATTTACATAAAAAAATTACTTATTTAAATATCATATAATCAAATTAAATATTTAAAAATATTAATAAATTGATATATTGTTTTTTATATTTTTAAACTTATTTATTTAGTTTTTGAAGATATTTCAGATTTATTTTGTAATTTATTAATAATATTATTATATATAAATTCATATATATTTATAAATACATTTGTATTAAATCAAAAACTTTAAAATAATATATCAAAACAATTGATATTATATACATTATTTAAAAAAAAAACTAAAATATTATATGATACAATAGTAATAACCTACGCCTTTATCATCTCCCGTCGCAATGGAAGGGTAGGATTCCTATAACAAAAATCAATAAGCATTTGGGTATTTATCAAAATCGGGTAGCATGATAAGTAGTCGGGTACAATTCGGATTTGAATACGGTATCTAAAAGGTAGCGGGTACCTTACCCGTACCCGTTGTCATCCTAATTTAAAAACCCTCGTCTTTGTTTGCTCGTTTTCCTCCGAAGTTGCGTATAGCTACGCTACTACTTGTAGCTTATTTTAATATAGTGTTATAGACGATTAAAGATATAGGTATAAATTTCTTGCCGTTATTTGTTGAGACCCGATGCCAATTTCCCTAATTAAATTATTTTCTTGTTAAAGTTTTTTTTTTTTTTTTTTTAATGTTAAATTCACTAAAAAGTGTTTTATTTTTCCATAGTTCATCATTCTCTCACTCATTTCATCAAACAGGCGACGTGCAGTTCAACGAATTGTATTCTTTTGCTCTGAATTAAATAAAGAAACACTAAAAAGTTGTAATTTTCCAGATTGATATGGATGAGTTGTTGCAGAACTATTTGTTTGCAACTCATGCAATTGCTGCGTCAGGTTCTATGGTTTTTGGCACTGCTCTTACTTACCCTCTTGACACTATCAAATCCCTTATTCAGGTTCCCCTTCTTTTCATAATTTTAAGAGCCTTTTCTTGTTCGAGAAAAAAAATTGTAATCTGATTATTTCTAATATCTGTTATATATTCTGATCTTTTGAGGTAAACAGGTTGGTTCAGGTTCCCATAAACAATTAACTACCTCTCAGGTTATAAATCGAGTTCGAGTTTTGTCAGGATATTCAGGTAAGCCCTCAAGCTTCTTTTTTATTTATTTAGCGTGATTAGAACGTTGGTCTTCCACTTTAATGTTACTTGGTAGTTAGTTGTTTTATTTGTTTGATGCGAATAGACAAAAAGGAAGGAATGTTCGGTTATTTTTTGATTTTTTAACTTACAGTATATGTTTTGATTGCATATGTGGTGAAATAGAAATGAGAATTTTCATTTTGGGAACCTGATATGCTTACTTTTTCCATGTTTAGTTTTTACATTAGTTGTTGATGGTTATCAAATTTTCAAATTTGTTTGATACCTTTTTCCTACTTGCTCTGGTGGCTTTCATGTATGTTAGGGAAAGGGGAATGAAGAAATGCTCTTTGCTGATTTGAAATAATGTCATGAACCATTTGCTTGTATATTTGGCAATAATGTCATGTTTGGACTAAGCTGTCAGTTCCATGAGAGTAAAGGAGGGAGCAAGCTAGAAGGAGAGAAAAGCTTGTGCAGCTTTTTGATGAAAGCAAAACTGCATGAAAGCAAACTTGCAGAGGAGATTGTGTGATATTTGGCAGCAGCAAAATGTATTTTGTTGCGGTCCAATACTTTTTCCTCTTTTATATTTAAGCTAATGGAAGAATCCAATTAAGATAGAGTTGACATAGTTGAAAAGTGGAGCTGTAATTTGGGCAAGCATGGAGCACAACAACTCTAGCTTGTTATGGTTAAAAGATTAGAGTTGCATGTTCAGAAATTGTTTGCTTTGTTGCCTTTAAAATTTGAAGAAATGAAATCTGGGAACACACTGATAAATTAATATAAGCAACCAACAGTCATGGCAATTCATGGCTGTTATTTCAACTTTAAGTTTGGACTATCTATGTCCTCATCATTTCTTAATTGTTTCCCGCTTTCTTTTTCTTTGTCATCCACGTGTTAATACTACCATATAAACCCATATTCCTTTCATCTCAAGTTTCTTAATTGTTTCCCTCTTTCTTTTCGATATTTTTATTTTAAAAGTTTTTATAATATTTTTACTATAGTTTTTTATACCAAAAAATTAAAAAATAATAATATCAAACAGAGAAAAGGTAAGAGTTGCAATTATTGAAAAAGGAAAGTCGATAGAGTTTTGGGATAGTCCAAAATGGAAAAATGGACATTCATTCTGTTATGGTTGATACCTTTCAAATTTTTGAATATTCAACTATTGGAACTAAAATTTGCAGTTCCTCTTTCCCTACCCCTCTTCTTTTGGTCCCTTGCTTTCTCTTTTTAACATTTTTATTAAAAGCACTTTTGTCATAGTCAGTATCCTAACTTTTATGTGGAGTTTGACTTTTGCTTTATTTTGAAATTATAGGTTTGTACAGTGGATTTGAGTGGTTGGCCTGGGGGAGAATTTTTGGTATGGGAGCTCGCTTTGGAATATATGAAGTTTTGACAGCCTTCTGTAAAGGTATTCTTGTCATTTATTGAATAGTGTTTTAGAAGTTATTTTACCTTGAATGTTTTATGCTTAATATTACATGCGTATTGCATATTTCTCTCCCACACTTTGGGTGCTTAGAAACCATGCAAGCCAACTTAGGAGTTAACATGACAGTGATCATAATAGAACATTAACCTGTTATTTTATTAAATTGCCGAGTAGATCACAAAGTTAGTCAATCTTAATTTGATTCCTTATATACAATGCCATATTCAGAAACCAAGGACCCTTGTCTCAAATTTTCTGAGTTTGTGCTTTGCTTTTAATTTATCTCCAGAGTGACCATTCCTTTGAGTTACTTCATAACCATCAAATACAAACCAACCTTTCTCCATTTCTATCCATCTAGCTGTGTATTTGGCATGAATATTCTTACTTTTTTCCCCTTTATGGTCTCCTATTTGTTAGTTACATGTAAACATGTGTAGTCAAATGGGTCCAGATGTTTGAAAACTAATTTTTCAATGGTATCTCTTCATTTTGCTTGAGAAATGGATTCAATTGAGTATCTACATCCTAATGAGAACTAAAACTGTGAGTGTTATACCATTTCTCATTAATATTATTAAAATATTTGTGGATGTTACTACTCCCTTTGTCCCATTTTATTTGTCCATCTTTCCTTCTTTGGATGTCTCAAAATTATGTCTTCTTTCCTTTTCTGAAAACATAATACTCTTACCTTTTTAAGTTCCAATTTTATTTTTCGTTATTATTATTATTATTATTATTATTATTATTATTATTTTTACTTTTTGACATTAAAACCCATAATATATCAAATTTATAGAAAAGAAACAATTAAATTTTAATATAATTACACTACAGTCTCAGCTTTTTCCTTAGTCTCCCTGGAATTCAACTAGGGACAAGGATTTGGGACAAAGGTAGTGTATAAGAAACGTAAGAGTTATAATCATATTTTAATGACCTCAGTTTCCAATGTCAGTAGTAGCAAAAGTAATGTGCTCACCATTAGTGAACTCTCCCTTCCCAATAACTTCTGCCTCCTCGTAATTTGAAGTGTTCATGTAAATGGCATAACATAAGAGTATAACTATAATGAGTTTTCTTTCCATTACATCCACAACTTTCACTGCATCATGTTGTTATATGGCTGTTTTGCAGATGGTCGAGAAGACAATTTTGTGTATGTCTCTGAGGCCCTTATGGCAGGGATGGCAGCTGGTGCTGTGGAGTCACTAACAAGCTCGCCATTTGAACTCCTTAAACTCCGTGCGCAGGTGACGTCTGCTTCTCGCATTTCAAGAGCAACACCAGTAACAGAAAATAAACCTGTTGGGCCAGTAATTGGCAGATTGCTACGTGGATATACTCCAGATATGAAGGCATTGAACCATTATGTAGGTATGTTGTCCATCTTAAACAGCAAACATCCTAATATGGTCGGTGCCATACAAGAGTACCCCTGGATGATGACTGGTTCTGGAAGGCCACCATCAGTTTATGACGTTCAGAGGCCATCTGAAATCATTTCTTTGGAAGGATGGGGTGCATTATGGAGAGGCCTTCGTTCTGGAGTTGCTCGTGACTCTGTATTTGGTGGCATATTCTTCTCTACTTGGCAATTTTTGCACCAAGCAATGCTTGATTGGAAGGCGGTCGGGATGGATCCTCCACCCAGGTTCTTTTTTGAGCTTTTCCTTGCCATTTGGTGCATAGAGTGTTCCCTGTGGAATTTTTTTTAGTTGATTATATGCAAGCAACTCCCAAGCATGTTCTAACTATGTTTTACACTTCATGTGAGATAGAATAGAGGGAAGTATCCTAAACAAAATATGGCAAAAATCAGCTAATTTGTTAGTTCAAGTTTACTATTGTCTCTTTGGGGACTTCAAACCATGATTTTTAATTACTTTTACCGTGCTAATGTGATTATGCAAGAATCTAATACTTGTAAGGGAAAGAAGTTACTAAAGAAAAACGAAATCAAGAAAAAAAAATGGTTCTGGATGCCCAGGGGTGTTTCCTGAGGGAAATTATTAAAGTTTAACAATTAAGAAAGCATAATGTTGTATTGTCTTTTTTATGTCATGTTATTGATGTTCTTTCTGGGCACCTTCAGATGCAAAGTTTTGGTTCACTGCTGAAGTCATGGTAGTAAATTGCATGTGCATGAACAGTAATCAAGTTGTAGTGTTGTTTGCATGTCTTTATCAAGCTTTTGTTCATATTTGTTATCTTTATTGGCTTATGAAGCATAAACCTTTGTTTCTCTATTATTTATGTCTATTCTATCAACAAACTTCAAGAAGGAAAAGACTTAAGGAAATGTCTTAAGCTTTTCTTGCCTTTACTTATACTTGTTTGAATTCTGGTTTAGCAGGTGTTTAAATAGCACCTGCAATGTGGTATAACGGCTGTTATTTAGCGGTAGCACCGCCAACTGCTTCCATTATTCACCCGTGATGGGGGTGTGATTGGCAATCACACCTATAACGGCTGTTTGCAGCCGCAAATAGCGGTGTAACGGAAAGAAGCAGTTGTAACTGGACGTTAAAGCTGCTACTTATATTTTTCTTTCATCAAATAAAATGAAAACACATTCCAAAACAGTAAAAAACCCATGCCCCAAGTCCAAATTATTTAGTCAAAATCTAACAAATTTAAGCCTCAATCAAAATAATAAGAACAATGGCAGTATAAAGATAAAGCTCCAGTAAGGGAACCAACCTTCAAACTTCCAAACCCATTTTGCTGTCCTATCGGGATCCTTGGGTTGAGCAACTTGAGAACCGTGTGATCCCATAAAGCAATTGCAAACAGCTCCTAAATCAATCTGATGGAAGGAAGAGAGTTGAAATCTTGAGGGAAAGCCAAGAGGGAGGTTGGATGGGGTCGTAGGTGACTTTGTTTGGGGATGGAGAAGCAAAGTGAACAAAGGGAAAGACAAGAGGGAGGTTGATGTTGGCATAAGATATAAATTGGTTTTTTTTTTTATTTTGACCATCTCTTTCTTTTACTTTTTGGGAAATGGGTATTTGAATTTTTTTTTATGATTTTAATAAAAATTTAATAGAGTTGTTAGTTTTTAAATAGTGAATTTAATTTTTAATTATCCAAAAAATAATTTTATAATAAAAATTTAATATTATTAAGTATATTTATTATTAATTTTTTTTATACCTAATATTTTTAGATAAAAAGTTTTAGAACAAAAGCAAATGATGATGAGATATAAGTTTTTGGGAATGTTTTGAAGATTTAAACTTTTAGATGAAAATTTTGAAGAGAATGAGAGATGATATGTACAAGTTTTTTTGCATGTATCTATACCACAGAATTAGATTTTAATACATTTACCTTAATAATTGTACTTTAAAATATTTAAATGCTCATTATTATTCTTTTTAATTTTATTAATTTATAATATTAATTTCATAATAATAATTTGTCATCAATCATATTCATTTATAGCATTTATATCGACAAAATTCATTGATATATTAATGAACAACATTTTAGATATGCATTTTGATTTATGACTCAAAACTAAAAAATGCAAAATATTTATTTTAATATATAAATTAAAGAATTAAAATATTATAAATTACTTTAAATATAATAAGCATGCTTATAATTATTATTTATTTCATTTTATGATAAGCTATTTAAAATTAAAAATATTAACAACCGTGATGACTGCAACTACTGTTATTTTATTCGTTATGTTCACAACCATAATAAATGCAACTTGAACAAAAACACGTCTGCAACCGCAAGTTAAATCTCTGGTTTAGCTTATAGGTCTTTTTGGCACTTGTAGAAGCCCATTGGATCTTTGGGCTATTCAATGGAAGGTAATCCTTTCTGATCACTTCAACCCTAACTTGCTCCCCAAGGGTTAAACCTGAAACTTCCTAGTTGAAAGGACCGAGTTTTAACAACTTTGGTGTTCCCTTGAATATATGTCTAGTTGTTTTTGCATCTATGACTTTGTTTCAAAAGTGTCTGTATGATTAAATTAAGGTGAAGACTTTGATTCTTTATTATGATACTGCTGGAGGTGCTTTATTTGCAAATATATTAGAGATCCTATTTTACCGATGTTTTTCTTGTTGGAGAAGTTTGTTGGCTTTTTTGACTGGGAGACAGCCATATGATAAAAGCACACTTCTGGGGTCTAAAATCATGATTTTTAAATTGGACAGAGAATCTGAATAGGATTTTATATGGTTAGGTCGGAAGACTGAAATCTAATGTTACTATGATCAGTTACATAATCAGAAGTTCTTGTGAGATGGGTTTCCTTGTTTGCATCTTGTTGTCTCATAAAGTTTGCTGGTTGTTGGACCTAACCACTTTGCCATGGCTGTATAAGACTAACGTGAAATAAAGAATTCAGATGTAATATCCTTATATGGCATTATGCGAAATTATCTGCCAAGAGTTTCTGGTATTGCCTGAACTTTCAGTAAGATTTTGATTTTTAGATGATAGCTTCTATAACTAAAATTTGGAATCCTTTGTCTTTCTCCCTCAGGTATTATGAAGAAATTGTTCCACTCTCCCCTTTAGCTGTTAGTCTTGCAGCCGGGCTTTCGGGTTCAGTTGCTGCTGCTGCATCTCACAGTTTTGACACTGCCAAAAGTCGATCACAATGTATAGTGTTACCCAAGGTATTTCCTTTATTAGGCTCCACTTTATCTTTGATGATAGTTATAGCATATGGCTTTAGTCATCCAAATTACCTTTACCATCAGCTTTCCAGCTAATCAGTCTGTTATAAAAAGTGGTTTTTTTTTTTTTGCATCTTTGTCCATTTATCTTATACAATTTTTTGTTTCTATTCCATTGTATGATCCCTGTATCCCATCTGCTATATTTTGGCATGTAAGTCTCCCTATATGTGTTTCTCCTGCTTGCAACTCAATATAATTGTGATTGTTAAGCCTTCATGTTACTCAATGTAAAAAAGGAAAAAAAAAAAAAAAAACAAATGTGAAGTGAGCCACTATGTCACTATCAATGCCTACAATCATGGCATTTTGATTTGACTTGCTTATATGCAGAATGCCTTAATGTTGCCGTTTTTTTACTTGCAGTTCATTTCAATGGAGAGGAAGCTTCTGAAGTGGAAAATACCTGGTAAAAGATTTGAGAGAATTACAGGGATCCACCCTGCAGATAGAAAAATCTTGTTTCGCGGCATATGGTTTCGAATGGCTCGTAGTGGAATTGCATCATTCGTAATTGTGGGAAGTTATTACTTGTCCATCACTTACCTTTTTCACAGTAATTGATTCTTTGATACCTTTGCATCAGAAATGAATTTAAGAGGGAAAAAAAGGACAGGGGAAGGGCTAAATGAATCGAGAATTGGTGGTTTACTGGGAAGAAAGGGATGAAAGATATAAAAAAACGTTTTAGTGTCGTGTTAGATAGATCAATCCATATAATGATGTGAAAGGGCAGCTTAAGTGGTATTTTAGGACCATTTGTGCTATTCTGAAGTCCTGTGCCTAAATGGTAGAGTGAAGCTAAATTGCCATGTGGAAGGTGTGGTGAGATGAAATTAATTCATTTGTTGGGGAATGATTAAAGGTTTTTAATCAGAATGTTTGGATCTTGAATCTGCATTTGCTTGCTATCTACCGTAAATGATAGTTTGTTAAATTCTTAACCGGCCACACCTTTGAAAAAAAATTTTATTTCACTCCTGTCAATTTCTCTATGCTTCTAAATGCCAGCTTTAATTATTGAATTTTATCTTTGGGTTAACAGAATTAATGTAGGGCAAAATGCTTGATGAAAATTAAGGTTGAATACTTAATCGTGAGTTTATTTTTTTAAAAGTATCAAATAGTGAAAAATGATATAATTCAAAGATTAAATCACACATTAATCCTGTATCTTTCTCATCAGTTATGATTTTTTATTTAGCTCATTGTAAAATTTTTCCTGACTGATTTTGGTGCTCCAAAAAAAACATATAAGAGATGCTACCTGTTCATAGCAGTAAAATGTTGTTGCATTTGCATTTCTTATTGTTATCAAACTTCCTTCTATTAGATGCTGAACAGAAGATTTTGCTTTATTTGAAGATTTTTAACTTCACAATTCCTCGCCTTGGGTCATTGAGTGCAAGAGCCACAGATGCTATTTGCAATTTTTGATAATAATAATAATAATATATTTTTATAAAAGTGACCGTAATTTAAAAATAAAAGAAAAAAAATTATAATTATTGAAATTTAAATATTGAATTTATTAAATATTATTTTTTAAAAAATTATTTGAATTAATTAAATTAAATTTTAAATTATCTGACGATAATATTTCACCTCTTACTTTTATTGACTGAATATTCAAGTTATGCTTGATGATGACCTTTCTGGAACTCTGCTTTTATTTTCAACTTTTTCGATTTAGTCTAAAGCAACATGCTAACCTGTATGGTAAAGCAAGTGAAAATAACACGACTTTCGTTTTTTTTTTATTAACACATAACATGTTTAGTATCCACTTTTGCTTTGACAAATTTTTGTGCGAAATTCAAAAGACAATTTCTTCCTCGAGCCAAAATGTAGACGGGGCCGTTGCTCTTATATTTTACTTCTCGAAACAAACAGCAAAAGCAAAAGAGTTAAACTGGTTATGAAGTGCTGCTATTCCAAAGGTCCCAAGGTTTTAAATATTTTTGTTTGCTACGAAATAGATATGGCAAAATTAACTTTGATCCAAAAATCAGCCTGAAAAAAAAAAAAAAAATCTGAATTCAATCGAACTCAACTTCACAATCCAAATTTGATTTATCAAAATTAGAAATTATCTTAACTAAAAAAAATTTAAACCAAAACAATTCAAATCCAAAAAAATTTTTAAATTATACCTAAAGTCAAAAAATATGTTAAAATAATTAAATTTTTCATAAAATCTAAAATTTATTTTTAAGTAACACAAACTCGAACTTCATCTAAACTTAAAAAGTTTAAACTCGAAATAATTCAAACATGAAATGTTTCAATACCAAAAAGATCAAACTAGAAATAATTTAAATTAAAATCATTTGACTTGACATAATATTGACATAACATAAGCTCAAAATACTCGAACCTAAACCCACCCGATCGATCTTTTCTGTTTAAGGATTTCAAGTTACACAAAAGAAACACTTCTTTTTATTCCAAACCCTATCCATCATCATCATAAGATTCAAATACAAGATTTATCCCTTGGATATCATTTGGGTACACTCTAATGGTGATAATTGGATAAGCTGAGTTAGAGTTAAGTTTAAATTATTTGAGTTTGATATTTGGCTTATTCAAGTTCAAATCATTTTAGATTTAAATTATTAATTTTTAAAATTAAATCAATTTAAATTTGGATCATTTCAATTAATCTTTTTAATGTTTAGGTTTTGATCATTTTAAATTTGGATAAATTGAATGAATTCTTTTTTAATTTCGATAAGCTTTGCTAGTTTTAACTCGAGATGTCAAAATTTGAATGAATCAGAAAATTCACTTGAACATACTTGTGACCAAACCTATATCAGATCCAAATTGATCAAAAAAGTCAAAGACCTAAACTCCAAAAAAAAAAAAAAAACAGAATCCAAAAAACAATTTAAGCTTAAAATCAACATAATTCAAATTTGTTATGACTCGAATCCACGATAACCTAAACTCGAGATAAATTTGATCTATAAAAATTTGAATTCAAAAAAATAAAACCCAAAATAACTTGAAATTATCATAATTCAAATATGTTATGAACCAAATCCACAACAACCCTAACTCGAGATTGATATGATCTAAAACCCATAAAATTATGAATTTATAACTCAAAAAGACTTAAACTATAACTGCATAATTTTGTTTAAAAATTAAAATTTTAGAAAATACTTTGTAGTCATAAATTTAAAAGAAAAGTAAATAAAAATAAGTATTAGAATAAATAATCAATGTTTAGTTTAAAAAAACAATGCAGGAACAGGTCTAGGATTTCTAATCAATGGAACTAATATTTTAAGTTAATTTATTAAATTTCTAATTGAAATACAAATTAATATATAAACAACTCCAAACAAAATTATCAAGTATAACAAATTTTTCCTATAGAAAATACAAATTCTTTTTCTACAATATATACAATATTTGCATAACTAAAATTAACTATATGGTTCTTAACAATTATAATTTAAATACTATTATATCATTGTTAAATCATCTTTCGGTTCATGCATGTATATATACATTTATATACATACATACACTCATACATACATACATATATATTATTATGTGATAGTTCATGGTATAATTTTATAATCATCATAGTATTTTATGATATAATTTTGCTTAGTTCTTAGCAATTTCACTCAATTATCCTCTTAATTTATACATTTTTCTCATACATAAGAAAATTGATCGAATAAGGAAAAATTTGTTAAATGTCATAACTTTGGACCTCATTTGAAATATATTTTAGCTAGATTAGCATGGAGTCGATTGCTCTCTTAAGGGACTGATTTCCTTACTTAGAGATGCTTGATCAAGTTTTTCTCCCTTGTATACTTTGATGCTATATGATTGAGAGCTGATTCTCTACATTTGCAAACTTGGATATGAGCTTAATGAGAGTTGAATAAGTTGATTTCAAGCCTTTGAAGTGAACCAAATGCATAAAGTCCAAGTAAGTAGCCGAGAGTGCAAGAGAATAATTTAATTGCTTGGTAAGCTGCTTACCAAGTTGCTGTTATCCTTGAGTTGCATGGGATGATGTTTGCTGATTTTCAAGCTTTGAAAAAGCCATGAAACTGTTAAGTTTACTCCATGAAAGAAGCTAACTCTTAAGCCAAATTTAGCAAGCCAAAGAAGAAAGGAGCTAATTAGTTGCATTACAACATGGAGGAACGTGGCAAGCTGGAAATTGCTAAAGGTTTTGCTGCTTGTGTGAATGTAGATTTTGGCTCTAATTTGAGCTCGAAAACAGTTGCCGACCTGGCCTTAAATTGATCTCTCATTGGTTGGGTTAAATTCACAAGGATCAAGCTCAATTTAATCACATGTTATTTATGCAAAGTGGGAAAACATTAGGCAGCTGATGGATGGCTTTTGTTTAAGTTGTTGGAACCATCGCATATTTCAAATTAAGTCGAAAAGTTGCTACGATCTTGGCATTAAATTGAACTCTCATTGGCTGCTTTAAGTGCACGAGGATTACCATAAAATATGTCACATTTCCCTCATGCAGCTATGAGAAACCGTCGCTGGGCAGTAAAGACTGATGTGCGGTTTTTGCTTATTCAACTACTTTTGCTGACTTAGCTGCCTACATGGACAAAGGCAGACTTCTTTTGGTCAAGTGACATCACAAGCTACCTATAAGTAGCTCAAGTTTGGAGGGAGAGAAGAGATTAGATTAGCTTAGAAATAGATTAGGAGTGGAGTTGAAAATTGACTTTCCATTGCATTTTAATTTTCTTAGTTGCCAAACAGCCTTGGTTATTATTAAATTTCAGCATTTAAAGTTCTTTTAAGCTTGCATTTACATTCACTTAGTTTTTAATTGAATTGATGAATTACTTCAAATTGAGCTTGCACATTTCGGTTTGTTTCTGGATTTTTGTTCTTCAAATTTAGCTAATATCATGCTATTTTCCTTTAGATTTTCAGTTCAATTCTTCATGAGATCTTCCATACATGTTCTTATATTAGTTAGCTAGCTTTATATGAAATTGGAGAGCCAAATACCATAAAAAGTGAGCTAAAATCGATAGCTATGATGGCTGATTCCAGTTTCTGTTTTCGCTGTTCGGTTTCTTCATTTTCCTTGGTGATTCATAGTTGTTTAAAGCTAAATGAGGAAGGTTAGTGTTGTTTCTAGATAGTGACAATGCCTGTGAGGTAATATCTAACATGAATCAAGTTTAACTTTATTTACATTGCTTTTAATTTTTAATTCGTTGCGTGTTTGATCAAATTCTTGTTTCAATTCAGTTTTATGTTCTGTTTTAGCTTTAATCTGTGTTGTTTTTGCACTTTAATTCATTACTCTTTTAAAGTTTCAAGTTCAATTACATCCTTGTTATTTTCCTAACGCAACTACATTCATGTTCATGCAGATTAGTTGTTTAACTTCATTCGTTGTGAGTTTGCATGCTGTTTTCGGTTTGTTGTTTGAATTCATCAGTTTGTTAAATTCAATGAGTCGAATTTACATGCTATTTTCGATTTATTGTTTTTGTAGTTTTTATTGTTTCATTCATCCTAATGAATTTCTGTTGAATTCATTAAGTTTGGTATGTTGAATCCTTGAGCGATAGCACCGAATATTCTCAAGATGTTCAATTTTGATACCTAGTTTTAGATACTATCACAGTCTTTGAGAGTCAATATTCGTGGTTACTTTCGCATTATTATTTGAGCCAATCTGCACACTTGTAGCGACCATATCATTGAGTCTCGGTTTGGATTATATTTTACTGGTATGTGACGTCTATTACGCTTTGGGTTAAAGGAATAAGACATATAAATATGTATATATATTAAATTAATAAAATTTTATTTTAAAAATTCTTTAAAATAATATAATATGTGAAAGAATAAAAATAAAAATATCAAGTTTTATCATTTATTTTTAGTAAACAAATATATTTTATTTTTTATTTATTATAATGTGTAGAACAAAAATAAAAACATAAATTTATGTTACTTAAAAATTAATTTTTTATTTTTATTAATTCACGTTTTATATGTTATTTATATGAATGACAAAAGTGTTTTATTTTTTATTTTTAACAAAGTTAATTAAAGCGGAGCAAATATGATAAATTTTTTTTTTTTTTGTAAAAGCAAAGTTTTAAAATTTTAAAATATATGAGATATTTTTATAATAAATCTAAAGATTTTTAAAATATATGTGAGGGTAGTTGCCTTTATTTTTTATTATGGATGACAGTTCAATCTGTTTTTTATGAGTTTCAACTTAATTCGATTTTATAAGATCGATTTTTTTAAAAAAAAATTGATTTCGAGTCAAATAATAATAAAAAAAAATCGAAGTCAAGTTTTAGGTAAATTTGTCCCAATCTAACTTAGTATATGTATAAATTATTTTTTAATTAATTATTTAATTTTATATTTATATTAAAAAATAAATATTTTATATTAAAAATAATATTTTATCAATTTTAAATCAAATCAGATCAAATACAATTTTATACAATATCAAATCAGGTCGATTCAAATATAAAAGTAAAAATTTTATTAGATTAGATCTGATTAAGATATTATAAATATAAAATTGAATTGAATTCGAGATGAGTACAAATTAATCTCGACCTGATCTATTACTATCCTTACTCTTTACTACTTAAATCTGTCCTTAAACAATCAATGTAGCTTAAATTGCCCCATTAGAGCGTTGGACATTTTTGGTTAAAGTTTGAATTTGGTCTATAATATTTTAATCTCGTTGTTTTAGTTTTTCTATTCTAATTTTATTGAATTTTTTGGCTAGTAACTTTAATAAGTTTTAGTTTTTATACTTTTTGTTAAAAGTAGATTTAAGAACAAATGATAACAATATTAAGATTTTGCTTTCAATTTGGATCATATGAAATTTTAATGATATTACCTGACATGTCCAGAGAGACTGATTTTTTGACTAGGTAACACATATTAATCTAAAAAATCTCATCTTTTATTTTAAGTAATAATTAATATTGTTAAAATTCTAAAAAAACAATGTTTAGTACTTTTTTTATAAAAAGGAAAGTTTCTTCCATACTAATGTGTATCACTTGGTTAAAAAGGTTTAGATTAGCATGGCACGCCATAAAAAAAAAAATCACATTTAATTCTTAATTTAGTGGAGAATGAAAGTAAAAGAGGGTGTCCATGTGGCACCTACTCCTTCTCCATTTTCTTTTTTTTTTTTAATTTTTGTTATTTTATTTTATTTTATCTATTTTTTTTAAATTTTATTTTATTTATTTTTATTTTTTATTAGATAAATTTTATATAAAAAAAAGAAAACTTAATGAAGATAGAGATGATGAAATAATTTGAAATTAATTGATTTTGATTCGTACAGATTTAACATAAGTGCATTCATTTTAAAAAATAGAGATTAGATTGAAGATTTTTTTAAAAACGAGATTGGATTAGAGATTGATTTAAGATATTTCCTCTTATTTCAAGTGTTTATGGGACATCTTTTTTTTTTTCTTTGTTTTTTTTTTTAAGTTTTGCCTTTTTTAGGTTTCTTTTTTTCTTTTTCCAAAAGCCTTTTTTACTTTTACTTTTTATTAGATAAATTTTTTAATAAAAATATCAATTTAGATAGAGATGATAAAATAATTTATATATGATGTGGTTCGATTTGTCTCAATCTAATTGGTGCACTTTTTTTTAATTCAAGATAATTTGATTGAGTTTTTTTCTTTTTTTAAATTAAGCTCAATTCAAAGTAAGGTTTTAGGTGTTGTGTTTCGACCTTAGTATATATAAAAATATTTTTATTATTTATTTAATTTTACATTTATGTATATTAAAAAATTTATTTAATACTTTAATTTAATAAATTCACATACCATTTCATTTTATTTTTTAATTTTATTTATTAGATAAATTTTATAAAAAAATAATAGATATAAGAATAACAAAATAATCTTATTCGATGAGTTTTAATTCATCATAATCCAATTAATATGATTTTTTTAAAATAAAAATTTAGTTAATTTTTTTCTTTGAACAATTTGGATTAAGTTGACATCGAGCTTTAGATACTCTACATAGACCTTCCTTGAAATATGCAAAAATATATATTTTATTATTTATTCAATTTATATTTAAATGATATTAATAAAATATTATTTAATATTTTAATTTAATAAAAATTATCTTTATATATAATTAAGTTATAATTTATATTAAAAAATAAATATAAGTTGTCATCCATTAAAATTTGACATAAAATTTTACTGCTCACTATTTAAAATATAATTTAAAAGAATAAAAATGATTACACAATGAACTGTGAATTTAATTTTCGTATTTTATATGTTAATTTTGGTAAGTTTGACTTACCATTGGACCAGCCACGGGACTCTTTGTTTTTTTTTTTTTTTGCTTTTTCCAGTTTTTAATTTTTTTTTTCTTTTCTCCTCTACATATTAAATAAATTATTTATTTTTTTAAAAAATTCATTTAAGTCTATTTGATATTATTGATTAAAAATATATGTTTTTAATTTTTTTAGGTTTCTTTTTAATTTTTTGTTTTTAGACCATTATATAAATTATAGACATTTTGGCTTTACAAATGATCTTTCACATGTCACCATGTTCCAATAGGAGCGATTCTATTAATTTTAACTATCTAATCGGAGCAGTTCTATTAATTTTAGTAACTTTTAATTTCAACAAGCCCTACCACATATTGACTCCTATATTTTTCTTTTTCTTTTAATTTTTTTTTATTTTTTTTTCTTTCTTTTTTTATTTAGCAAATTGTTTTTATATTTTGTAATTTTTTTGGTGTGGTTCCATTTAATATTAACTCCTCAATTTTCTTTTTTCTTTTTCTTTTATCATTTCTTTCTTTTTTTTATTTACTCTTTCTTTGATTTTTTAATTAGATAATTTTGTAAAAAAATAATACAAATGAAGGCATCAAAATGGCATGCAAATTTAATTTTTTCTTTTTAAATTGAGATTGAATTGAGAGAGATTGAGTTTTTTAAGAGAAATTAGAATTGGATTGAAAGTGTATTTAGAGTGTTTTATCTCAATACATTTTTTGATATATAAATATATATTTTATTTCTAATTTAATTTTATATTATATATTATATTAATAAAATTATTATTTAACATTTTAATTTAATAAATTAATATTTTAAACTTAATGAAATTATCTACAGGGCACCTTTTATGTGCATTTTTTGTTTCTTTTTTCCTTTTCACTTTTTTTCTATTTTTTAAAATTTTTTATTAGATAGATTCTGTGAAAAAATAAAGTAAATGACACTGTTCATGTTCAACCCTATTTATTTGTTTTTGATTTTTAATTTTATTAATTTGATAAATTTTATAAAAAAAATCAATTAATTTATATTTGTTTATTAAATTTAATAAATAATTACATATAATATTTATAATTTATTAAATAAATAAATAAATTACAAATATAATAAAATTTTATTATATACTCTCTATAAAAATAAAAGATTAATATCATAATCAATCTTATATTATAATAAAAATATTTAATATAAAGTTTAAAATATAAAAAATTTTAAATTAATACCTAAACTATAAATATATTAACTAGAGCGTAGAGAAGTTGGGCCCGCTAAACGAAATTATGACCGTTACTCGCTCTTTTCTTAAATCAAATCTCCACGTGGCACGACCTGATGGGTTAAGTTCACCTATGCAGAAGAAACTTTTGCCACCGTCTGCATTGGATTCTTGACAGGTTGAACAATTTCCTTTATTGAAAATTTAAAATATCAGCTTTCTAGCCGTTGAACCTCGGTCCCCCTTGTCTATCTTTGCAACAACCAGACTGAAGCTCATTCTTTGGTTTAATCATTTTTGCCTATTAGATTTGAACACCAAATCATCAATTTTATTTTTATTTTTTCACAAACCAGATCAAATTTACATCTGAATCTTTTCTGGGTGGAAAATAAAAGTGAAAAAGAATGAAGAGTGTGAAAGGAAAGCTCTTGAAGAAGCTGAAATCAATCAAACCAGTTGATTACCTAAAGCCAGATCGAGTTCTTCAAGTATTAGCAATAGATGGGTTTATTGATTCTTGTCCGAAGATTCCATATCCCAACGAACAACCCAAGTTGTTCTGCAAAGAATCAGAGCAAGGCAAGATTAAAGACAGCTGTGTAACAGTTGAAGAACAGCCTGAAATCATTGATGTAGCAGAGCTAATGAAAGATCTTGAAGCGGAAGACGACGATGAAGAAATGGATTTGAATGATGAGGTTGAGGACAAAGAGAATAATAGGCCAACAATGAAGGCAAATATTGATGTAGTTGTTGAGAAAGAGAATGTGAATGTGAATGTGAATGTGAATGTTCCCATGAAACTTGAGACGAGGAAATTTATGCAGGACGCCCCATTATCAGAGATTGATGTCTCGTCGTTTCGGAAACCGGATTTGAATTCTTGTACACTCTTTGACCCTAACCTACTGGCTGCCTTCGAACAAGCGGTGAAGGAGCATATGAAGATGAGTGAAGAAGAGAGAAAAGCAAGAATATTTGAGCATGAGAATGTTCATGAAAACAGCCTTGAAAAGAGCGAAAACGAGCCCCCATATAAAACTCGTCGGATTGATGATAATGTTGATGGTGTTGATGGTGATGGTGATCCACTGTTGGAATATGTAGAGAAGTGTCCTCCTGGAGGTGATGGATCAGTCATTCTTTACACAACGACTCTCAAGGGAATAAGAAAGACTTTCGAGGATTGCAACAGCGTTCGGTTTCTGTTGGAGAGTTTCGGGGTGATTTTCTACGAAAGAGATATGTCGATGCATACAGAATACAAGCAAGAGTTGTGGAGGATTTTGGATGGAAAAGTAATGCCACCAAGGCTTTTCATAAAAGGGAGATATATTGGTAAAGCTGAAGATGTTCTTGCTTTGCATGAGCAAGGGAAGCTTAAGGTGCTCTTTCATGGCATTCCTGTTGATAGATCCAATGGCCCTTGTGAAGGCTGTGCTGGATTCAGGTTTGTACTTTGTTTCAAGTGCAATGGTAGTCATAGAATCATTGCTGATGATGGGTTGTCGAGTAAATGCCTGCAGTGCAATGAGAATGGTTTGATTATTTGCCCCTTCTGCAGCTGAAAAAGATTGTAACTGTGTTTTTTGCTTGCATTCTCTTGATTCTATTTCTTTTTGGGTGTTATTATAGCCATTCTTTTTCGATTTCTTTGTTATTTTTGAACAGGAAATGGAAATTGCAGATACTACTGTAAAAGTGATAAATATAATTAATCTATCATGATTTGGATCTTTCAAAATTCAACATTCTCTTCAGATTCAGACATACCCTTGCACAGTTTGTTCAAGTTAATTGAAGATCCTGCAAAATATTTTTTTTCCCATATATAGATATAGATAAGCAAAGACCTGAGTCATCAGATATAGATAAGCAAATATTTTTTTTCAACAGCATGTAGTCTGAGCACTTCTGGTAGTAAAATGCAATACATTGGGGTAAATGTTTATAGCACATCATTACATTTATTTCCCATGAAGTGGCATAAAAGTAGTGAACCAACAATCAACATGGAGATCATATACCCTTTCAGGGTAAAATAAAGGGGAAAAAAGAAAAAGAATTGTAAAAAGATTGCTTTTTAGGCACCCAAAAATGAAATTAGAATATGCAAGTATTTACCTGTATTAACAAGGGAAATAAGATGCAAAAGCAGCTCTAGGATTTTTTTCCAAGGCTCTGGCCCCCCTTGACAGTTCCTCAACTCATCAGCCTTTAAACTGGAAGCATCGCTGAGCTTGTTAGCATAAACAAAAAGACAGTGAATGCAATAAAATGTTGCTGGGCTACCAGCAGGAGGATGTTGAACCGAGGCTGCAACTCCTGAAGCCATGCCCTCAAAAGGAGTAAAGCCAGGATATCCCTGCACATTCATAATAAAAAAGAGAAACTAATTTAGTCCCACACAAGTTTGGTAACATGTTTCAGGTATTGCTACTATCATTTTCAGTAAATTTTGGGTACCTCTAAAGATCTTTGCATGTAATAGAAAACAAGTTGCTCCTTCAGCAGCACTCTTTCATCCTCAAGAATCTTTTCCTGAAGATATGAATGCTCAAACTCATTTTCGTGAACACATGCGACAACTCTTCCAATTGTACTGTATCCAAATATATATTCTTCCTCTGCATTTCTTGAATACTATAACAAGTCACTATAGCAGTACTGTAGATAAAAATTATACTGTATATTATAACGTTAACTGTACATAATTACTATTCATATTTTTGTTTATTTAAGCCTGCATTGTAATCAGCTATAGAGGGGCTCTTTGGTCACTCTTATCTCTTCCCTTCTTTACTTGCCTTCCTCTCTCTTTCAGACCATCCTCAACTCTTTGTATATCAACTATTTCCTCCTAAAAAATGAGTATAAGAAGATGGCTAACCAAACCAATTCTTTAATTTTTAACCCAGAAGATGAAGAATATAATCTAATGCTATAGAAGATAACCAATCCTGTAGATATTCAACATAATGAGCCAGTAAGCTGATCTAACTGCCAACACAAAAAGATAAGTTCATAATAGTTACTATTACTTTCTACAAAAATCCTGCATCAATCATTTATAACAGATAAAGAAGAACTACATATTGTAGCAAATCACTGAACAGTACGTAGAAAAAATCATTGTAACGATAATGTCATTTACTTAATATTTTTGTTTATTTAAGCCGTGCATGTAATCAGTATAGTAGGGGGCTCTTCCCGGTCACTGTTATCTCTCCCTTATTTACTTCCTGCCTCTCTCTTTCAGACCTCTCAACTTTCATTCCTTAATTCCTTTTTCATGAAGCAACAAAGCAACCTGCCGGTAGTCCCATGTAAGACTCTCCTCCACTAAACTTTTGCTCTCCTCATCTGCTGAGACATACTGATTGCAGAAAACACCAGTTATGGCACCTGCAGCTTCCTTAAAAAGAACTCTCTCTAGATGTTTTTTAATCTCGTTGAGCCCAAATTCACAAAGCATAAGGGCACTGAAAGAGACAGCGCCACTTCGAGCCAAGGCCAATGACATACATTATAGAAGAAGAGTAAGTTTACAAATCCTTTAGTTTTAGAAATCAAATTTTGTGCTACAATGACTATTCCATTTTCTGCTGAAATCCTTAGTGTGCAAACAATCTGTAGCTGTCACACTCCAAACCAAAGGATTTAGGACATAACAACACCGCATACTCAAAAGAAAATTTTCATAAACGTGCAAGGCAACAGAAGTCATATTAAACCAAAAACCAAAACTTCAATAGTCTCCAAAATTATAGATCTCAAAAAATCTCAAATCTCTGAAACTGAATGATTGCACTTACAAAACTAATGAATAGACTAAAACTAAGATCAAACTACTCACATTCAATCAAGTAAACGACGACAAAACATAGATGAAAATTTGCAAACGCAATCTCTTATGAACACTAAGCCCTGAAGATGCAAACGTCAAAATCTGGAAAGTATGAAGAATTAAAAAAAATGAGTATACGAACTCAGCAAATAACCATTATCCCCACAAGTGGATTAAGCATGCCTCAAAATCGTTTCAGGCCAAATCACATCGTTAATTTCATAATGCAAAAGTTTGAAGTAGTCATATACTAAAAATATAAATAATTTCAAAACCTCATATCATACATATGCAAAACGAACATAGTTCACAATTTTTAGCTAAAGATTCATCCATAATATGAGTCAAAGTTTTATTGAATTTTATATTCAAAATCATATTTACTCCAGATCAGATTCTCACACCAGAAAACAAACAAAATTTCACAAAGTTATCAGATATAAGGATTTACAATCCCAATTGGGTAATCTGATATTCATAATTATATTTACTCCAAGTCCGATTTTCAGATATCAAAGATAAACAAAGTTTCACAATATCAAAATGGTATGTCTCATGTGTTATAAGTCATACATATCAAAAGCAACCCAATGTTGCACTTAACAGAACAAAAAACCAACCACTATTCTTAATTGGTGTGACAGTACAAAAACCACTGTTTTTAAACCAATGACACAAACATGAAAACTATTATTTATAATTGATGGCACAATATGAAAACTATTATTCTGAACCGGTGATGTGGTGAACAACAACTATTATTTTTAAGTGATGGTACAATACAAATTTGATTTTGTCATAAGGTACATGTCAACATTAGCAACATTTAATCCTCATCGGTAAGGTCTAAACATAGTCATTCCATGAGTAAAAACAAATATAATTTAAGATTACCTAAATTTATAAAGCAGTATTTCATGCACTTTTGAAAAACACATCTTGTACAAAATAAAATTTGTATTTCCTTTCAAAATACCTTATGCTATAATTCGCATTCTCAAAAATACATGCACACCCATATTTGACCAATTATGTTCAAAGATCAAATCCAAAACAAAACCACATTTCAAATATAAAATTGAATTTCACATTTCGTTTCCAAAATATCATGTGAAAAATTTGTGTTCACAAAGATATATTCGTACCAACACATATATATTATGACAAAATTATTATATTCAAAACGGTGACAATGCCAAATTCACATTCTACATTTAAAGCAAAGAAATCACATGTATTTTGCATGCTTAGTCTGATTTAACAAATCAAGAGGCAAAACCTTATACATTTCATACAAATATAATCACGTCTAAGCTTATTTTTAAGGCATGAAAATACCACTTACTAGATTTGTTAAATTGATACTACGCACAAATCACTCAAATTATTTAATGGCCTAATAATTCAACAAATATTTCAAAATTAGAATTTAACATAAAAATTATAAACTCAATAAGGTACAACTTCTCGACAACCATCCCAAGGCATCTAAGGCGTGTAAAAACTTTCTTTATAAACCGTGACTATTTGAAAAAATATATATTTTTTATTAAAATTATATTTCATGATAATATGAAAATATATTCAAAAGTAAAGAAAATTAGAAATTAAAGTTACAAAACACAAAATCCTTAGCAATACATATATATTTTTTAAGGTTAAATCATAAAATTAATTAAAAGACTTATTTTAAACTTTGTATTTATTAAAATGAAGTTTATTTAAGTTTACCAACATAAAAATAATTTTAGAAGAATATTTTTATAAAAAAAAATCATTAAAATCATGCAACAAATTCATGCTATTTCTAATAAGAATGAATCAAAGTTGACCAAAATAATTCTTCAAAATAATTAAAATGAATTTTTTTAAATTCTAAGTTTTCAAAAATTTGAGATCCTAAGGCTGATTTTGAGCCAAAATATCTCTCAACTCTAGTTGACTTTAGTGATGAATCAAAACATAAATTTAAAGTATGCATAGAGTACTATAATGTAAAATTTTGTTTCAACCAAAATATAGAGGTGGATGCTTATTGAAACTAGAAGGGGCTTTGGCACCCCAAAATTTTAAAAACCCTTAGTTTAAGGGGTTAAAGACTCTTACTCAAGTAATAGTTTTAGATTTATTATGATATGCACATATATATGTAGATTATTTTTTAATATTTATGTGGTTATTTTGATAGGTTGTCCAGAGCAAAAATGGTGCATCTTCTTTAGGGACAAGTTCAAAAGGATAGGCTACTGCTGTCACTAATAAAGGTAAAGACATATCCAAAGAAGTTCTTGTCAATGCTAGTAGAGGAAAATGTGCTAGTACTTTTGGTTTAAAAAGAAGAGCTATTGTCGATGTTGATACAAAATGAGAGGCTAATAATGCCAATGCTAGTGCAAGAGAAAGAGGTACTGCCAATATTAATACAAGAGTTTCAGTTACTATTATAGCTTCAAAGTTTGGCAGAAGTTTAAGAGAAGTTGTTGAAAATGTTACTAGAAGAAGAGAAACTTTTAAGCAAAAAGTTACTTTAATTAGAAGAAGGGGTAAAACTACTACAAGCCAAATGTTGGTAGTAGTCATGCATATTTGGTAGTAAACCAGATGTAAGCATTTTGCTAGCACAAATCAAGAAACTAACAACCAAAGAGTAATTTCACTAAAATTTTAATTTTTTCATGATTATTTTAAGTGTAATTTGACTTAGATTTTGGTTTGATCTTAAGAATTTTTGACAAAATTATCATAAATATACATTTATCTCATGTGTAACAAAAAAGGTCAACCCTATAAGAGAGGTGAATAAGCATTGTAAGGCCATCATATTTAGAAGTGGAAAGCAGTTAACTGGTGACTAGGTCTTTATAGGTTCTCAAAATGTGGCAGATGAGGGGTCTAATAATGATGAGCTTGACAGAGAGCTAATTC